TCCTTCCTCTCTTCTCTTCTTCTTCTTCTCTCTCTCTCTCTCTCTCTCTCTCTCTTTCCTCGCGAGGAAACGCGAAGCAAGCGATTACTTATTCGACTCTCGGAGAAGATCGCTTTTAAGTACTTTCTCAAAGTATACAAAATGGCGGGTGGGTTGGAAGGGAGCGCGATACCAAGGCGGGTGCACGATTAAGAGTCGCGGCAACGATATTCCAACGCTCGACCGGTGAGCCGGCGACCAAAGAGGGAAGATCCTTTGAGAAAACTTGGGGCAAGTTTCTCGAATTTTTCCAACTTGCGTCGCACTTTGCCCGGGATCATAGTAGTACGTATAGATCGTTGGCAGGCAACGTCTATTAAATTGCGCGCGATCCTCTCTCGAGTGTTTGCTCCGAATCGAATTTAACCCTCCCAGATCCGTTTTCCTTAAACGTTTTCCATCCCAAAATCGATAAGGTGGGAAAAAGGGAAAGGACGGAGAGGGGACGAGGGAAGGGGGAGGGGGACGTGGGAAAATCGCGAGATATCGCGAATTTAATTCGAGCGTGTATCATCGGTTTAACGGAGGGGGGAGGGAGAAAAAAGGGATTGCGACGACGCAATTAAAGGACGATAACGGAATACGGTTTCGAGAGGAGATAAAAGTGGTTGGCCCGCGGTTGTTACGCCATTTTGAAAATTTCGCGCACGACTCGATGATAAACACGACTCGGGAAACCCGAAGCAACGATGCTTGCCGCTTGCGTTAACTAATCTCGGCCAACGATGAACAATGGAGTTATAAACGGAATTTGCCTCCGTAATACCTAATACAGAAACATCTTGCGAAGGTAAATTTGGCGGCACGCATCAAACACGCCGGTATGTTACGCATACACGAATTGTAATTAATATGCGATTGCCGTAGGGATGGAAAATTACCGTAGAGGAAGGAAAGGAAGGGGGAACAAAGGGACGATGTAACTTCGGCTATATCACTGTTCCGATTATCCTGTTGATAATCGGCCTCTGATACGTTGAATCGGTCACACGCGATATTCTTTTTGGTTTACTCGAAGATCATTCTATTTCCTTTTGGATCGTCACGATTTCGTATTCGAATCGAAACGCAGAAAAAAATCCACGATAAATCGATATATCAGTCTCCGCCCGAAATTATAGAAATTATACAGGTTCGACGTACCGCGCGTGACCGATATTCAGGATATTCAGATATCGTGGCATCTGGCACTGCGAAACCCTGCAAAAGAGACCGGTATCGGAAAATATTCGTGTGCAGTTTACTCACCTAGAACGCGCACTTCTACCGAGCGTTGAGAGGTGAAATTATGCTTGTTCCTCGCGGTGCACATGTACGTGCCCTGATCGGCGGCTCGTTGCACCGTATCGATGAACAGGCTGCCGTTCGCAACCCTCTGTCTCATGTTTGTGGGCAACCTTACACCATCTGCTAACAACGTGACCGCTCAATTTCCCTCCCCCGTGATCGAACGAATCGGGAAATATTTCGAAAATAAATTCGACGCGAGTATCTAAGAAAAGTCGTTTTTTTTTTTTTCTTTTTTTATTCACGAAACGAAAGGGGAGATTAATACTCACCTTTCTCCCAAACGATCGATTCGATGGGATAACCGGCGACCGGGCATTTGATGTGAAACTGTTTCCCAGCGACCGCCGAAACCGTCGACATGGGCCTGACATATGGCAAACCTGCGATTGACAAGCAACGAAACATATATTTCGCTTCGAGCGATTTTCCCCCCTCCCTCGATGTCCTCGCATCGACACGATCCTCCGTGTTTCCAATGTCCCCGAAATTATAAGACTCCCTATTTTTTCTCTTCTCTTCTCTTTTCTTTTTAAACTAAACTCTGGCTAACTCTCGAAACCCTATGACGGAAATTTCTCGATGCAAGAATTTTGCCACCCGCATACGGCCGTACAAAAAAAAAAAAAAAGAATAAAAAGGAAGAAAAAAAAAATTCGTTGATGAAACAAAAGCTACGAGCCAATTTTTAATTAACAGAAATCGCCCCTCCAACGATGGTGGTTAATGACAAAGGATCCCATCGAGCCGATATTCCCGGCGATCGATTCGAGCCACGGAGAGGGAAAGGAAAAACGAAGAGAGAGAGAGATGGAACGTAATATTCCCCGGGGTTTCCAGTCAATTTCAATCGACACCGGTCCACGATTCTTCTCCTTAACAATCTTTACCCTCTCTCTTTCTCCCTCCTCTCGCCCCGTGAGTACTCACCGTAAATATTGAGCCTCGCCGAGTGGCTCGCCTCGCCAGCGCGGCTGCTCGCGATGCACTCGTACTCGCCCCCGTCTTCGGACTTCACCGACGAGATGTTCACGTGCGATATTACGTCCCCGTACACGGTCACGTACTGGCCAATCAGGAGTCTGTCGTTTTGCGGAAGCGGAAATCCATCCAGCAGCCAGGAAATTTGCGGCGTCGGATTACCCGCGGCGCTGCATTTCAGAGAAACCGATGGACCGGTCTGCATTGTCTGCTCGATAAACCTGTAGACCAGTTGCGGCGCGATCTCTGTTAACAGACGTTACGTCACGGATTACACGTATCTCCAAGCGTATCCTCCTCCAACCAACCGTTCCGCCAACCACCTTTCCCCTTCTTTTTCCCTTCTCCTCCCATTTCCCCTGCCTTTTCCTCTCTCTCTCTCTCTCTCTCTC